GTGAGTTCAAGGTTTAAGGATAGTTTGAACAACAAAGCAAGACCATTAAAAAAAAAAAAGAAAGAAAGAAAGAAAAGAAAAGAGAAAGAAAAAACAGCACACCAGTTTGAGTAACAAAATTTTCATGCATAGTTAACCTTTAAAAATATCAAATGCGTAGTCCCTAGCTTGGTCTTTCAATAGCCACACATAGGTCCATTATGAAATGAAGTCAGGTGGTGTCATGCTACAGGAACTCTGGTGATGCCACCACCGATCAAGCTGTCTGTCAGTTCCATAAGCCCTTCATCTTATTCTACTTTTCCCTTTTAAATGACAACGATGGTTTTAAACTGCACAATATTTTATCTTTTTTGAGTTTTCATCCCACCACCTTGGAGCATTTCAAAGAACTTTATATAAAATAAGAGTATTTAACAATAACCAAAAGAAGAAAAATTTCTTGGTGTCAAAGCTATTAAAGTCCCATAATAATAGTACACATTGATGACAACAGGAAGCTAATTGCCAGTAGATACTAAGAAAATTAAAATTTGGAAAGTCTTCAGGCTCTACTCCACCCCCCCCAAAAGACAAGGTTGGAAAAGATTCAATTAAAATTTCATTACTATTAATTTTTTACAACCTATATAGTAGATCTCAATTTTAAATTAAAGCAATTACTTAAAATTTGTGATTAAATTATTAAATATAACTTCATTAATTTCTTATTTTTATTTTAGCTAGTGCATGCATGGGGATAAATAGAAAAGTTTCACATTAACTCATTTCTTAAAAGCAAGTTTCAAACAAGAAACATATGCCAAAGAACAGAACAGAGAAACATTAATGTTTGGTTTTACGGTATCATTTATTGTCATTTCACAAAATGGGAAAAATTCTAAACTAGAAGTTAATTGAAAATAACAGTTCTATTTTAGAATTTAATCACATTAAGTAGTTTTTTCCAGATTCCTTAGATTTTTTCGTTTGCCCTTAAGTTAGTCCACCCAAAGCCAATTCCATTTAAAGTTCTTTTTACCTGTTAGACCCTTCTTTTAGAATCAGATACAGTTTTGTCTCTCCCTTGTATCTGTGACGAGGTCCCCCATAACACTCTCACCTCTGGTAAGAGCAATGCCAGTGGCGCCTACTGAAAGAGGGACATTTCATAAAGGTTTCACTGTTGTCGGTATTACTTTTGTTTATCACTTCCTTATATCTTATCCTTATATCATATCCTTATATGAAGAACAGTCTTCAGTTCTTCCTCTGGAATTAAAAAAAAATTCTTAGAAAAGTCACTTTCTAAAAGTTTAGTGTAAAAAATTAATAGTGAAAATACATGTACGTTTTTAGAAGTTAACTTCGTTAAAGAATGGAGCTGATCTTAAATAGAAATGAAGCAATGTACTAGTCAATATGAATGGAGAAACGGTAAGGTTGCTGCTAATGTCTAACAGTACCTGAATACTCCAAGTGCTGTCCTTTTGGAGTATAGTTCATTATTTCAGAACCTTTAAAGCTTTTAACTAATATAATTTTTGATACAGAAGTACATTGAAGATTAACAGTAGCTTTTGAATGACAATCCTTGTTACACATTTTTTGTTTGTTTTCTTTGTGCTTTTTAAATTGCGATATGATTTTCTTCAGTGTGTGCTGGAATCCTTGTTCTAATGAGTAACAGCAACATATTTTTACTAGTTTGAATTTACCTTTTGATCATACTATTCTTCTATGCATAGATTGATCATGTTTCTATTTCTTATACTCCACAGGCAGTTTGGCATTTCTGGTGTAGATTGTTTCTAAAACTACAAACTTGGCTGCCATGTTCATGATTCTGCAACTTAATAAATAATTTTTGTTTATAAAATCTACCATTCTTTAAAATCTGCAAAGGAATCCACCATTATTTTTTATGGACTACTGTTATATATGCTCGACAAAGCACATATGATCTCATGACAGATATTTTTGAAAAAATGTAATGAAATAATGTATTCTAAGTAATTGGATATAGTGTCAAATTTAAAAGATATATTGCCAACTTTATTTACCATTATATCCAAAAAGAAAGAGATAAATGCTCCCAATTTCAATTTTTGATAGTTTCAATTCTTTATTCTGACTTCTTTTTGCCACAAGTGGGCATATTTATGTCATCTTATTCTTTTGCTTTACTTTTTATTTTGTTTTGTTTTTTCTTGTCATCTGAGATAGAACCCATTTCTTTTTTCTTTTTTTTTGGGGGGGGGAGGAAAAGGTGGAGTAAGAGCATGATTTACATTGAAAGCTTATAGAAATTAATTTCAACATTATTTTTTTATTAAAATATATACCTATACTTTGTTAGAGATAATCATTTTTGGGAAATATCAAAGGTTATCTTTTGAACTATCTTACAGTGTTACTAAGTAATTGAATTTTTTGTTTGCATAGTAACAATGTCACGCCTTATGGGAGAAGTAAAACGGCTGATAATTTATGCCTCGCTATATCCTGATCTGGAACCTTAGAAACTTCAGAGAATAAAGAACAACAATTTAAATAAATGATCCTTTTCTGTGGTGTTTTGATAATATGAATATAAACATTAATATGGATAAACTTACAACAGGTATTATAAAGAAGTTATTTGGAATATGTTTTAATGAATTATGACATTACTTTTAATAATTTCAGAATGCTAAAATAAATTATGATCTCACTGGGTACTGCAGCACAAAATCCAAATAAAAGAAAAAACTCCAAATTTGTAGAATTCACGGAAAAGAATACAAATGCCTCCAAAGCCTTACAAATTTAAAAATTTTGCTTTAAATTCTAGATAATTAAAATCATATTGTCTTCTGGATAAAAACAATATTGCTTTATAAGTTTTATACTTGTATGGATTAGTGAAAATCATGAATCTCATAATAGCAGGTATACATTTGCTTGAATATCTCATGATGGTTGGTGACATTGATGAATGTGTCTATGGATGAGTGATCTTAAAACATGCTATCTCTGACCTGCAGGTGTTACCACACTGTATTCCCCTTGCTCAGGTTTTGTAATTCTTTTATCCATTTTTTCTCTGAACTGTACCTCTACTAAACTAAATCTTTCCATCTTTGTATACCCTGTTGTGTGCCACCTTGATTTTGTCTCCATAGCCACTTTGTCTCTTAGGCTTGAAATTGTGATTCAAGATATCAAGAAAATATTCTTAACTCACTTTGCATCTTTATCTTTCCTTTGCCCTATGTCAAGCACATTGGAAAATATTTTGTTTTCTGACAGCTGTTCATTGAGTTATTGTGTCAGATGTAGTGAAACTGAATCTCAATCTCCTTAAAGGTAACATTAAACCATATTTATGCTTGAGCAAATCACATCAACTGTAATTTGTTGTTGATTTTAGGAATATTTAGCATAATGAATTTGCATAGGAATTCATAAAATAGTAAAAGACTTACAAGTGCTTTGTAGACATAAAATTAGACTTAAATATACAGTTAATTTGGCAGTCATCGGTAGTTTTGGTAGCGAATTAAATGTCAGTCGAGGTCAAATGTTGGGTATAATTTATATTCAAGTTAATTAAACATGAATTGAAATTACTTTATGCACATATATATATATACATATATATATGAACCATATACATATACATAAGTAGTTTCTCTTTAAAATATGGTAAAGTTTAATTAATAACAAGTTGATAAAGAATATCAAATTACTTCATACAGATTTGAATTCATGAAAAAAGTAATCATATTTCAAGTCAAATTGCTAATACTTTCTACAAAATAAGCTCATTTACAGATTTTTAAAAAAATTCATTTACTTTCAACCTGTAATTATTTTTATCACGTATTATGTAACATAATTATGTGAAATGAACATGAAAAACTTATTTTGAGAATTTCATGCTTAAATCCACTAATTATAGATTATTGGCTACTTGATGTTATCCTTGAATGCTGTAGGCAGAAGTCAAAGTTTGAAAGAAATATAACTTTGATAAGTGTGTGGAATAGAAATAGGCATAAACTAAAGACCTCAGCGTGCTTGCTGATAAAACCGAGCCCTACAGGGTTAGCTGCAGGAAAAACACAGAACGGTACATATGAGGGATATACATGGTGATGGGAGGAGTGAGCACGGGGTTTTTACATTGTAGAATAGTAATCATGAAAGTTTCTGTTCACACGTATTTATTTATTCCACATACATCTGCATGAATATTGTTTCTTAGGAAGGAGCCGCACAAACAACCAGATAATAAATGCATACATTAAGTAATGAAAAAATTAAGTAATTGCTATGGTACAAGAGAGGGACTCACCTGAGGAAAATCTTCTTTTTAGTCTCAAATCTGAGGATGTTAAACACACCAAGAAGGAAAGCGAGGTATCCAGATGATGGACAAGAGCCTGTGTGGAGGAGATGGTGACAAGTGCCAAGTGGACCTGTAAACTAGGCGGTTCTGCTCATCGAGGAGCATGACCAAAAAGGAGGAAAAGAGACCAGACTGTATGCACCTGAGTACTTAAATAAAAATAGAAAAATATTTTTAGAACAAAATTATTTCTGTAGTTCTTTCTCTGAATCTGAAAATCTCTTTAAGCCTGAGAATGAATTCCTTTAAAGTCAAGATTTTGCAGTAAAACATTTAAATGAAGCAAATGAGCCTCAAATTTACAATGTACAAGTGAAAGGCACCGACCTGTTAGAGTTTATTTAAAATAAACAATAATAGGTTACATTATCATAGAAAACATCAAGACAGGCAATTTCCTTTAATGTTCCTGTTTGTCAGTATCTTTAGAAGACTTTAAGATACTAATACTAATAATAAACCCTGACCCTAAAACATCAGAGATTTACCTAAATACATGAGAATAGATACACGAGCCTGTTCCTCCCAAATCTACAGAACAAGAAGAGGGAACATAGAGAATGAGTTAAAACGCCTGCCTGTCACCTAGTGGATTCCGGACAGACAGCAGTCTTTAAGACCCAGCGACAGTGTTTGTCTGGAGAGGAAATGTTGCTTTTTGACAGATGAGAGAAATCCCCTTAGTGCTGGCTGTGGGAAGAGAGAAGTGAAGTCAGTCACCTGGTGGCGAAGGCCAGTAGCACAGCGAAGCGGGAGGAAGATCGCGTTCTGCTCCTTTCTCTCCTCGCCCTGTAGGATCCTCCTCCTCCGAGTCTCTCAACTCTTTTGGCGTAACCTTCAAAGGAGAACGTTCCCTTCAGACTTTATTATCGCCTTTTCCCTACCGAGAGAGCACCTCTCAGCTGCAAGACATTTTTTTCTTTTCTCCCCTTTCCCCCCTTTCTTTTTAAGTGCATGCAGGACTTCGGGGATTCGGCTGTTTTGCTGGGGAAATTGATCACCGCTATGTCTGGGGCTCACAGCGAGCTCAGTTAGCTCCCGAGTCAGCCTGCCGGAGAGGGAGGAAGGCTCTATCATTCACTCTTCTCTCCACTTCCAACACATTTGCCTGGAATTTGCCGCATGATGCTGTCCAGGGAAGCAGCTTTTTTCCTTGGGTTGCAGCAATTCGCTGGTTTCTAAGCTTATTGCAGAAGAAGAAATAATCTTGAATAGAGGGGATCCCCCCCCCACCCCTCTGCTCGATTTGCCCGAGCTGGGCTGCACCGCGGTAACGCGATCACCTGTCACTAAATCAGCGAGGAAGTAAAACAAAGTGAATTGTCATCGTTATTTATCTATTTATATTATTTTCTAACCGGCGGAGGCGGCGTGACCACGGAGAATGAGACTGAGAGCAGCTGCCGGGATCTGGAGGAGGATAAAGCTGAGTTTCGGCTGGAAACCAAAACCCTAGATCGCTTTTCGGTGCAACTTGCCCGGGTCCCCCGCCCTCCTCCAGGCTCGCCCGATGGACAGCTCACCCGACCTGGACATCGAGGAGCTCAAGGTAGGTGCAGCGGGCGGAGGCGGCGCCGCTCCGCGCTGGTCCGGCCACCGGGGCAGGCGGGGGCGCTGCGGGCTCGGGCGCGGGGTCTGCGGCCCCTGGTGGGGCTCTCCTCTCCGCCTGCTCCCCGTCCTCGCCTCCGTGACAGCGGCATCCGTGGGGTGCAAGGTCCGGCGCCCCCAAACTCGCCCGGGTGCCCTGCCCGCTGGCCCGGTGGTTTCCCGGCAAAGTTGTCCGAGCTGAGCGGGCGCTCGCCTCGCTCTCCGCCCGATGCACTGCTGCCCCCCGCGTGGGCACAGCCTGTTTCAGCTCGAGCTCCCCTCGGGTTCCGCGGGACCCCTCACTCCTCCCGCAGACGCGGCTGGGCCACGGCCGGGGTGCCCGGGCACGGTGTGGGGACCTCGTCAGCAGGGGAGGGGAGGGTCTCCTGACCAGGACGCCTGCGGGCTGAGGGAACGAGAGCAGGTTGGAGGGGTTGGGGTGCAGACCCGAGCCTTGGGGTCCCCCAGCCCCAGCCGTGCTCCCCGCCCTCCTCACTCTGCCCCAGGTCCCAATCAGGCGGCCAGAAGGTTGCGGAATTGCAAATTTGCTCCTCAGTTGGTGGGCATCGCTGCCTTTGGGAGCTGATTAGAGAGGGAGAGAGAACACAGAGAGAGAGAGAAAAAAAAAGCACTTAAAAAAATCAACAAAACACAAAATAATTTAAATGTCCCGCTCACTGTAAACGAAAAAAGGAACAAAGGGGGCGATGCTAGGAGTTTTTCTTTTTAAAAATTTCACCCTTCTTAATCTCTAGGCATTTTATGCAGAGGGTATTTTTAAAGGAAATCAAGAACTCTTAGTTTAGGTGAGGACTTCTTGGACATCATCTGTCTCAAGAGTAGAGATGTGGCTTGAAATGTCCGGAAAATGGGCTCATCTCATAAACTGACCTCGGAGTCCGGGAAATCCCCTCTAGAAGGCAAAAGCTCTGTGCCCCTGTTTGCCCTGGCTGTCCACCCTGCCGGGAAGGGGAGGGAGGGACAGACGGTGGACACTGGTGAACTAGCTCTGCCATTGCCAGTGGATGAAGTCAGGGTGGACCTTGGCCATCACTTCCACCGGAAACTCTGAGCCCCTCAGAAGAAGGCTGGGGGGAGGCCCGTGCCTGCCGCTCCACTTAAAGTTGAGAGAGCACAAGTTTCTGTGTTTCAGGCAAGGTCACAGTCAATAAAGACTGGACCACAAGTCTCCTGTTCTCTCTGTGCTGTACCAAGGGACAGTACTTGGCCATATGCTTATAAAGATCTCTTACAGCCTTTGCCAAGCACCCTAGTGTCTTGTGAGAGAGGACGGGTTTTATTTGAGATGTAGGAGCACAGGTACAATGCTTGTGACATGTATTTTATTTTATACAGAGCGAATCTCCAGATTTGGGGGGTGTTCGTTAACTATAGGGCATGGCACATTAGGCATGTTAGGGTATGAACAACAGGAGAGAAAAAATAATGTTAGACCATCGTTTCCCCCGGCATCCCTTTAGTTTCCTGCTAGCTCACCCCCTTCTGAACCCCCGTAACAATAAAATTGTTTAAAGGAGCAAAAGAAGCCCACTGTAGAAACTTCTGTCTCGTGTTAGTAGAAGATCCCAGCTTCATCTTCATAGCACTGGGCATCAGCTCAGAGACTCTCACAGCCTGAGTGTGCGGCACTTTGCAGACGGGCAGCAGAGGACAGAGAGCCAGGAGGGGTTTGGGTCTGAAGTGGGGTTCGGGTGTGTGTTGGCAATGCCTAGGGAAGGGTGAAGGAATGGCAGGGTGTAAAGATGTTGAGATTCTTGAGAAATTTTGTCGGGACAGTCTCCTATTGAGAGTTGAAACTGGCACAATAGAAAATGTGGTCAAACGTGGTAAAAATGTTTGAGATCCTCCAGTTTGGGAAATAAATTTGTGCTGTCACTTTGACTACACTTCTGGAATACGGAGGCTTTGGAATGTTTATCTTCTGAAATAGACACACTGTGGTGGATGCACTGCATGTAGGGTAATTTGTCTCTATTTCTTCTTACAACAGAATCCATGGGCTTGGGTTCCCGGTGGCTTCTTACTAAAGAGCCTCCTGGGACCATCAGGAAAGGGGAGAAAAGAGCTGGGGATTCTTATATTTTTTTGGCATGATTTGTCTGTTATGACTGTTTTTACTATTATTCAATGATGCTTACACTAAGATATATTCACATAAGACTTTAGTTTTTATGATGCTTAACAACATGGAAAGAGTCATATTTATAGGGATTTGATAAGTGGATCTTCATAAATATTTTAAGAATCCAGTTTAACTGAGTTTTATGTCATAAATGTTACTAGGTGAAACTGCTTTCTTCAGAGTTGAAGAAAGAATATTCTGCTAATTACTTTTTGGAGGTAAAGTGTTTTATTTTTGCAAGATATTTATTTATTTTTCTGGGTATAATGAAATTATTTGATTTTAGTAAACTGTACAGTAGCGTTGTCTTTTAACTTTTTATACTAAAGATACAATTCAATAATTGTTAAATCATTGCTATCATGATCATAATCATAAAGCATATATTAAAGGATTTGTTGGTGGGAAACTAAACCATAGTTATGTGGGTAAAACTTGCTAATGAAGCAAGCATGTTTCATCATCTATTCTGCATACTATGAAATAGATCAGTTGTAAAAAAGGAGCTTTCTCTTCCAAAGAATTTTGGTCTTTTCTTTTCCTTTTGATCTCATTTCTTTCTACAATGAATGTATAAACTTTACTGGGGATTTTGCTTTAATGTTTATTTTAAAGAAAAAAACAGCTTCAAAAAAACCCTAAAATATGGGTTGCTGCTTTAGAAATGTGAATGTTAAGGGATATTGATACTAGAAAAACACCCTGTATCCTATAGTATCTCTGAATTAAATTGTATCCCTTTTAGTCATTGATATTTAAATATTAACTTTAGCTTTTATTTTAGTTCTGTAGTTTCCGTCTTTTAAACAACTGATGCTCTACACTGGAACAGAAACTGCTATTAAAAGCACAAAGAAGTCCACTGTAGAAACTTCTGTCTAGTGTTAATAGAAAACACTTTAAAGTTTAACCTTTGTGAAATATTTGGAGGCTGAATAAATAATTATGATAAAGTATGCAACTTTGTTGATTCTTTTACTCAGTTTTTGAAATGTGAATTATGATTTAGCGGTATTAATTTGGCAATTAAGAAATTATGCTTTCAGAAGATAAGAATGTACGGGTAGATAATCGTGATTTGCTTTATCAAAAATATAAAACACTTCAAGATTTGAGTGTAATTTTTACAGTCATGTTAGAGTCCAGTTTTTTAAATTTATTTGTTAAGATTATTCCTTTAATGAGATAACTGGTTAGAAGTTACAATAGAATTTCTCTACCTACAGAACATGAACAACTACAAGGTGCAAACATTGTAAACTACATGGTGAATCCTGAGCTGTCTGAGTCAGCTTTTCAATAGAATAAGTTTAATTGTTAGTGTTTCTTTAATGGAGCCCAGTCACTGTTGCATAATGTTATCCCTTTAATTTGAACAAAATTTCATCTAGAAAGAACTTGAAGCTTGCCCTAGATAGGCAAGGAAAAATCTTCCCAGAATAATGCAATTTAGGTCATTATGAAGGCATTCCATGGATAGGAAATGATAATCCAGAAAAAAACATACTGTAGGTGTTTAAACAAGAAGTCTCTGTGAAAATGCTGAAGTCTTCAACCAGTGTCATAAAGCATTCATCTACAATCCAATCAAATAAGGGAGTTGGGACTAAGATTAATTCTAAAAATGTTTTTCTGTTTCATCAATAAGACACTTAGCCCAGGAAAGTCTAGCTTGCTGCAGTGTGGGAGGCTTTGTATGAGTGTATGTAGGTGGTATTTTTTATGTTAGTCATTCTATAGTGAAAAATAGTACTCTCCGATACACACCATATTTTTAGCAGCCTGTTTTATATTTTCATTTATTTCCTTTTGAAGTAGAATAAGGAAACATTTGGGAATACTTTTTTCTTCTTGTTTTTCCTTCTTGTACACCTGAGGAATTATAATGTGTCTTCACCCAGCTCCAGTTCCAATTCTCTGTTGATAAAAAGAACTAGCCATAAAGATTTAATAACAGTTAACCTTGGTCTTAAAGTTAATATCATTTTAATTGATCATTCATAATTGGACACATTTAATATAGAATAATGCATAATGACCTAAGCAAACTAACATAGACCGTGCCTATTTGTAGTGAGACAGTTAAAAACTTTTTTAGCTATTTTAAATTATGCAATAAATCGCTTAGGTTTTTTTGTATTCAGAAATAGACTAATGAATTGAAATAAACTTCAATTAATATGAGCGAAGCACTTTTCCTTATAAGAGGAATGAATGAATGTATTTATATGAGTAGAAATAGAATTAGGAAATGTAACTTAGAAGGAAGTTGTGCAGATGACTGAGTAATCTCCAGTGGTGTGCTGTCTTTACTAAGCTTTGTTCTTACCATCTTACTGGCTGTTATAACTTTGCTGATCTGCAGGATTTCATAGTTGAAACACATCAAATTTTGAAGTTGCAATACAAAAGAGTATTTCAAGATTTATGTAATCAAAATTATAGCTCCACAAGACGGCTTTATGCTGTAAGATAATAAATTGGCATGAATCTTTTGGGGCATTACTTTTATATAATATTTAGTCAGATATTTTCTCACACTATATTGAAATTTCAGCTAAAATAGAATTTGGTGGATGTTGTAATTCTAATAGTCCAAGAAGGATGACCACTTAATTTTGTCCAACTCTGTGATTTTCTTCAGTACATGCACTTAAAGTGGTAACTGATGTTTACATGTCAAAATGAAAGTTTATAAACTTAATTGTTGAACATTGTGTTTCATTTTTGATAAAACTCTAAGCTTCTAGAACTGTGGGACTAAATGTAAGCTACTTCATTTTATATTACTGTAGTTTTTAACATATTAGCATCCAAAT